GTACACTTTTGAGGAGAAGTCTTTCAGTTGTTCTGTGCCTTACGAGGTTGATAGGTGGAACATTTATTAAGTGGCCTAACGTTTCGACTCAATCGTCGTCTTCAGAGGCCTGAACATGTTTCAAGTTTTAGATTCGCAACCTACCCCACCAAGCGCCTCGTCGAATCTAGCGGTTCCGACGTAGGGTCAGGAACCCTCGAGAAGACGCCAGTACGCAAGAAGCAGACTCACCGGTTGTTCCGCCGTTAGGCCACTTAATAAATGTTCCACCTATCAACCTCGTAAGGCACAGAACAACTGAAAGACTTACAACTAAGATGCCGAGGTTGCAAGAAGAGAGAAGCTGGAGAATACTTTGAGGAGAAAATTGGCATGCTACCGCAACTGCGGACTCAATGGCTGACATTCATACCGGAAAAGGAAGAACCCTAGCTCCCACTCACCTCATCTCCACTATTGGACGAACACTTCGGCAACTCTCGTCTCCTGAATTTCTTCCCAGGACGTGACATCAGAAGAAACCACGGTAACCACTCCAGAAATATGAGCTGTATCTGAAAATGCGTGTCATTGTTCCACGGAATTTTATTATACTGCCCTAGGGTAGAGATATCGTTCTTAGCTGCAAATAAGAAAATGCATCGTTTCAAAAGTGCCATAGTCGTTCCAGACTTGCCAAAGTTTTATGAGTGGATGGCATTGTCCTTTCAAATCTCTTGGTATTCACGCTTTCTACAACTCCGCCACAATTAATGGTATTACTGTGGAAGCCACACCTTTCTTTGTTACACGTCACCGTATCCTTAGCGAGTGTGTGGTTTGCAACGTGGAGATCAGTCGAGGCGGTGTGAGGAGGGCGGGATGAAAGGGGCAGGCTGCGGTTGCCTTGTTCTACCAGTGGTAATTGGCTAGTGATCGATTCAGAAAGAAAACAACCAGTCGGGGAAATGCCGCAAGTGGGGCAATCCATCCCTCTTTGAAACCCCGACTGATCGCGACTATACCAACTGTAAAGCAGGATAAAAACTGGTTTGACGAAATCACTATCTACGCTGTTAAACAACGGTTCCAGTTCACCATGGGAGGTGTTCATAGACACAGACGAGCTGAGACACTTACCCATTTTCCCATTTGATGGGTCCTTGGAGATCGGAAATGCACATTGATGATGACCAAGGTCGCTATTATAGAGCAGCCCAACAGCAGCATTGAAAGTGAGAAGAATACCGCTGAAATCAGAGACTCTTGGTGTAAAACTCCTACATGGGCTAACCATAAGATCGTACCAATTATGGGGATCGATTCTGAAGTGGGTGGAGTGATTTCGGAGACCATTCCGAGGAACACAGTCACAGACAAGAGATTCGTGATTTCTATAACCAGTTATCAGTCATGGAGTCATCTTTCACTTGGCGAAAATTGGTTCAGTAAATCATAATTTGCTAGAGATGTTGACCACACTCACATGATCTTGATATTTTCCGAGCAATCTAGGTAAGTTCTCCCCCACCTCCTCTTCAAAGTTTTTTGCAACGACTACTACATATAAACCCAAATAAAATGTGACCAAGGTTAATTCAAGTGTGAATGAGGTAGCGATTACAATACAGGCATTGCTATGCATTGTATGGAACCAGATTAAATTTAAAGTTTTTGAATTCAAAATTAAATTAATTGATTAATTTTAAGTTTTAATGAATTTTGAAATTTCAATTAATTTCAAAATTAATTTTGAAATATATTCCCACCAAGACAAACAAGATTCCAACCGAACTTCATTAAAGACAAAACTGTACACTCTTCTCCGAAGCGAATGGGTCCGCAGCTGCAGTGACGCGCTATTTTCTACGCTCCAAATTGCACGGGAATAGAGCTGTAGGTAACGGTACCCAAGTGCTGTCTCCACACTCCGCCCGCGCTATGCTCACTCGACGGTACCAAGGCCCCGAAGCGAAACATGCTCTCAGCGGTAGAGAACAGCCAGAAGTGAGAGGGCGCAGACAAGTGGCTCGTTTGACTATGCTTCAGCGTGTGATTGACCAGGCGGTTGCGCAGACGGATATGAATACGGTACTCAGGTATCACTATTCTGCAGCCCCGTTCCCGTTCATTCCTGACCAGAGAAACAGAGAGAGCTGCATCCTACAGATCCGTTCGCCTCACAGACGGTGAGGAAAATGTCCCAGTTTGTCCTTTAATTGCGGCAGAGACGTCTAGAAGGACAAAACGCTGGATTGGGCATCAGAAGTCCCCAGTAAGTCACAGTGCAGAACAAGTAAACATGCGAAGTCATGCAAAGTTCTCTAACGGATTCAGATAGAAAGCTAGTAAAAGGGGCATGAGGAAACTGCCTATCAGCACCAAGAGATTTATCCCCCAAGTTTCGTTTTACCTCCGTGTTTTGAAAACTTAATGCGGCCTCACTCACAACCGCCCATTGAATGCCAGAAACCGAAGTCTATTAAACTGAGCTTCGGCTAAACTCCACAACTCTCAGGGCGAAATATGGCATTCAAAGGCCAGTACAACTGTGACTCGACATCAAATGCATGGCATACCCCGGGTTGGCTTCTGACAAGCAATGTATTTTCAAACGAAAAAGAGTCTTTATCAGCGATTCAAGATCTCATTTGATAAGGTAACAATATCCCGGGTTTGAAAGAAATGAAATTTAGAATGAACTCACGCAAAGTAATCTTTTCGCCACATTCTGGAGGCATAGTGAAGCCAAGAACGTTACTGATGGAGATCAAGATTGACGGTATGATCCAGTTCAGACCATAGTACAGGGTTTTCCTCTTCAAATGCACTCTGAAGAACAGTTCCACGTATCCGCTCTCCGTTGAATTCGGAAGCGATTCTGTCGGCCGGTGTTGCTGAAATAATTTAACGTTCCTTCTTCAAATGAAGTCATGCATTTTCATGACTTTGAAAGACCATAGCAATGCTAAAGAAAGATCTTTTCTATAAGGGGAGCAACTATATTGTGCTATTACATTGCATTTTTCTCCTCGAAGTGAATTATATCGAAATATAAAAAAACAAATTTCTATTAGTAACACTTAGTAGCGTCATCGAGATTGTCGAAAGAACCATCCACGAAACAAATTCAGAACTCGAAGACAGATCTTCAAGCAATCCAACGTTGACTCAACCAATTGGTAAGACTTCTTCCTTGACCAGGTATACACCATATCCCAGAGATAGAGAGTCCGTGAGCTGCGTACTTCATTCAAATGTGGCGACTGCTGCGCTTCTGGAGGGATATTGCAGTTTCAGAACAGTTGCACCCATAACTTTGTCCGGTACAGGATAGGGCAACACCTCTATTGAATGGAAATATCCCACGAACAACGCATCCTACGCCATGTTCGAGCAAAGAACGCCACGCCCACTCCACCGCTGGGATGTGCAATGTAAACCGGTGCGTTATCACAAAGACTGTCCTATTTTCGCGACTCCACGATGGACGCTTCCAGGGCAATCAAGCTCTCCTACGTTCATCCGATCCTATCTGGTACGATGCGCACATGTCTGGGAGGGTATACGGCAACAGCAGGCAGCCGCAGTTTGCCAGCCCTATTACTTATT